ACACACACACACACCGACACACCGACACCGCTCCACAATTTTCTGTTGAGTGACTGAGGTGCAGCTGGTGTTGCAAAATCCACAATGCTTTCACAGTATAGTGCATAGTTCACTACTTGACTGACAAACACTGACAGCGTATGCACGGGCTAATGAATTGACAAAACTTGATCTGAGGAAAATTGTTAATTGAAGTAGACGAGCGCTTTCCTCCGGGCTGTCACTTCGCCCGATTTAAAAAGACAAAACATGTTCACGGTCCGATCAAGTACAACCCTTCATGGTATGCAGCTGTCAAACCCTGCCTTTTCCACAGCCACAAGTGTGGCAGTCCTGTCCAAAGCAGGCTTTACACTGAATCAAATTTGCGCAGGCACTCGACAGTGAACGAGTTCCACACATATATAGACGGTGGCCATTCCGACTTGATGTCTTTGAATAGATCAATGAATGGTCTGATCCCCATATGTATATACTTGTTTTGAAAGAAACGGAAAAGAGAAACGATACGAAAATCAAAGCCAATGCACCTGCTCAACATGGCCGGTCATCCATAATGTCCTGTGCAGAAAGCGAACCGGAAAGCAGGCCCTCGGACCGTCCATTGGTACAGCAAACCGGCATAATGTAGGTGGTGCAAGCATTGCAGAGTTGCTTGCAAGTTCAGAAGTTATTGAGCACCTCCCTTGTTTGGGACTTGCAGGAGAGCACAGCATTTGCTCATGGAATGATATGGGAAAGAATTGGCCCTAGTGACTTCATGACTGCTCTTGCACCACACGCACAATCTCGAATTCCCGGAGGTGTGGACAGCATATTGTTGCCAACGCTTGCCTAACGAATAGCCCTTCTTTGCCTGTGAACACATTCCATCCAAAAGCCTTTTTACAAGAAAGGTTATCAAAAAACCCTTATATACTAGGCTACCACTGCTCAATCATCTCCTTGGTTTGATGGTATTAAGCGGGTCCCCCATCTCCAATTCACGCAAAGTGTCCCGTCACAAAAGAACCTATCCTTGGCTTTGTGAGAACTGTTTGGCACGTGTGGTTAATAGCGAGTTTGCCATTGTTTTATCCTAGGGTGGAGACCATCGCTACTAGGGTGGAGGCCATCGCTACTGGTATTGATTGTTGGTGAACACGTTGGCGGGACACGACCCCGCTTCTACTGCCTCACGGCGCCATGGCTTTGTTGCCATTCTGGCGGCGTTCTGCTGAGCCAAGCGCTGGTGATCAACGCATACGCGCAATACCTCTGTCTACAGCCCCATGACACGACTGTCATCACCCATCAGCCACAAGTGTGACCTGACTTTGTATGGATGATTCATTGCAATGAATCATTAGGCAGCCATGTGCGGGCTTGGCGTCTCTGAGACTTCATGCAAAACTCTTCTCTAGATACGCAAAAAAACTCAAGTTCCAAGCTGTCAAGTTTCTCCAAACAGGCTGCGATAGCCTCCCTGACCGCAGGCAGTGAACTACACAACATCCAAGCTAGTGAGGTGATTGTAAAGCAAATTATTTCTAAAAAAGAAACTTGATTGAGTCGATTTCATTTTGCACCTTCAGAAATATCGTAAGGCACAGCCATTTTCATCCGAAGGCTTCAGCCAGAAAACGCTGTAGTCCCAGAACACCTTGCCAAGACAGGTCTAGAGTCTATGAGTTGAACTCCGGCAAAGCAGCCGAGATTAAATGCTCCACAGGGAGCGTGAATCAGAAACCTATTGCAGACAACTGCAGACCATTGCCAAAAAAAAGGATGTGTTCCAGACTAATTACTAATGAACTGTTTCAGAAGTAGGAAAGAAACCCCATAATTCTGCCACTGCTACTGCGGTCAATTTCATTCAATTTCAGCTAAGCATCCTTCGGAGAGATCGCAAGTGTCTTTGCCAACACTGGAAGGACCTCACGCACCCATCTTCAAGTGTAACCTTCCCTGCCTAGCGCCTCCTCAAGACCAGGCACGAAGGCATGTTTTTACACACGTCTCACTGTCGCAAGCCGCTGGAATTCAAGTAAAAACCAGATTTGCTCTCAACTTGGAAAAGGATTCCTCCGACACCGTATGCAGTCACACAAGTTGCACAGGCCAAGCAAACCAATTTCTGCAGTCGGGTTAACAGCATCACCAGTCATCAGTAAGATTTTGTTAGCTGTTGGATTTGGTTTTGCACGAGCACAAGCTCGCCTCATGAAGCCGCGTTTCCAGGTCAGGCGGCCTCAGCAGCAACATCCCTGTCCTGGCGATCGGTCGAGAGCGCTCAACACAATCAGTAAAGCACAAACCTGCAAAGCTTGCCCATTGAGCTGAGCATCCAAGTGTCGCTTCCGGATTGAGCCTATTACATGAGTTTACATGAGTTGACATGTCGTTGACTTCTCATGTCTTTACAAGCCAAAACTACTTGTTTACATGGTCAGGTTCCTTTTGTTTTCGTCATGTCGTGATCCCTTTGCTGCCACAGAGTGCAGGTGATCACATGCCGACGGTCAACAAAAAGAATTTTATTTACTGTAAATAGACAACTCTACTTCGAGTGGTCCCCAATTCAGTCATTTGTTTTCATGCCATGGTGAGGAGCATGTTGCCATGGTATGCCACGGTCGTGAGTTTTGTGGTTTTCGGTTTTGTTTGTGGCTCCTGGGCTTGGGAGTGTTATTCTAGTGTTACGGAGTTCGCGTCGGGGTGTCGCCAGGGTCTCCAGTTGGCATCCAAAAGTGCGACCCTGTGACCACCTGCCACAAAAAAGGCACGCACACACACAGAGGTAACTGTATTGTGGTATTTATGTGCTTTTGGTTGATTTGGAGTTGTGGTTGTATGGTATGTGTTGTGGTTGTGTGCTGTGGTGTGTGTTGGGGTTGTGTACTGTGGTTGTGTGCTGTGATTGTGTGTTTGTGGTTTGTGTGCTTGTGGTTGTGCTTGTGGCTGTGTGTTTGTGATTGCGCTTGTGGCTGTATTTGTGATTGTGTTTCTGGCTTGTGTGTTTGCGGCTGTGTGTTTATGATTGTGCTTGTGGTTGCGTTTGTGTTTGTGCTTGTGGCTGTGCGCTTGTTTTTGTGACTGTGGGTTGTGTGGCTGTGGCTGCGCTTGTGGTTGTGCTTGTGGCTGTGTATTGTGTATTGTATTGTCTGTTTGTTGTTATGTTGCCTGGTTGTGTGTTGTGTGTTGAGGTCCGGTAGTGCCCACTGGATCTGGTGCTTGCGGTTGAGGTCCGGTCGTGCCCACTGCGATCTGGCTGCTGTTGAGGTCCAGGGCGAAGGAGAAGAAGAAGGCTATCTGTAAAATAATCTAACAATCCTCACCTGACAGGTGGGGAAAAAAACACAATCTACTGTTTAACAGTTCGAGATGCTTGCAACTTACACTCTCCCAGTCCTCACTGCATCGCTCTGGCACTCGTTGTGGCTAAGAGCAAACTCGCCTTCGCTAGGTTTAGAAAATAGGCAGGAGAAGATTTGCTTGTTCCTTGTTGCTTTACAAAATGCCTGGCAAAAGAGGGAGCGGGCGATCGTACAATTAGAAAAAGATATCGATTCAAATTGTCCTGAATCTCGTGGCGTTTCACTGCTTTCTCAAGACAGAGAGAACGCGTGGTAAGTGATTTGGACGATGGCACGCACTTCGTATTGTGAAGCAAAGGTTTTTGGTAATCTGTCAAACGGGAGAATATTCAGGGACTTTGAGAAACATTGAAAGCAAAAAGAAACAAAGGGTCGATCACTCATCCCACTGAGGTCACGACAAACCAGCACGGGCTCAAGAGTCAAAGAAGCAATCCTCTCATTGGCAACCAATGCAATGGAAGAACCAAGAAAATCTTGTCATGGCAATCTTCTCCCTGTCATAACCTACTGTATTAGATCAAAACGTGTTGCCCAACCCCCCGGTCCCTGCGAAGCAACCACCCACCCTCCTCCGATACACACGCTGACATCTGGCAAAGTCCCGTATCGGGTACCTTGCAAGAGCCGGAAGAGGAAGGCTGATGTGGTCTTGTCCACTCCAAGCTGACACATGTTCAAAGAAGCTTAGGGCTTCGAAGTCTGCAACGTCCCTGCACCTGCACCCCTACTGTATCAAAAATTATATATATGAAACGTGAAGCAAGTTCAAAGGCTTTTGTCAGGCACACCAAATGGCCACAGTGCTACATGGCCAATGCTGCTGCAGCTGGTCCACCCTCATTCTGCTCAGATTCTCATTGAGCACACTAGACTGCCATTATATGCGAATGTGGCGCATGCTATCTGTATACTATACCCAACCAACAATACATCAGGCCCTGTCAAGCGCCTACCAGACTCCAGCAAAAACGAATCAAGCTGTCAAACCAAACTCACTGAACTTGCGGAACGCACGAAAAACAACAGCTGGAATGTCTGAGGCGTCGAACAACTTGAAATTCAGGTTGTCAGCAAAGCACAGGTCGTAGGGCGGATCGACAAACACTAAAGCCCTGCCACCCACAGCCAAACCATGAGTGTCACAATGAGTGTCTGAAATCTTCATGTCTGTCCATGTTTCGCCCTGTCAATGTCAGTCTGAAGTCAAAGGCTGCCGTCGTTTTTTGAATGTCCATCCTTCCTCTGCTTCCCTCACCTCTGAGGCTTCATCAACATCTTTGGAAGACCCCTGCCAAATGGAGCGATCATGACTGCAGTGACTGGACCCACTTTGGCGACAATGTTTCCAGGCAATAAAAGGCCGATCTAAAGGGCATGTCAGGTTGCGGACCCTGTGAATCTCCCATCGTGTGACATTTCCTGCTGAAGCTCAAGGCAAACAATGCTGCACTCCTGTAGGCATCTTCACAGATGATATCCACCCTCTTCCCAACGAATTGAAGGTTGTGACCTGAAACCCACTGCTGAGGTGCGAAGGGCGAAAGAAGTGGTCAGGGAAACAAGAGTACTGTCTTACATTCAATTCACAAACTAACGACAAAACCAAGCTCTAGACTCTAGACCTAGCGCAGCCTCGAGGAAGGACTGTTGCGCCGACTTCCAAATAACTTGCTGGACTATCTGGGCAATGCCAGGGTCTGCCTACTGGTTGCAGCCCAAATAGGGTAAAGATTCTAGTTTGTGTTGGACACTGTCGCGTTGCACGGGAGAGACAAGACCGTCGGATAATTCCAATGGCATCTATACTTTGCCCTTGGGACCTGTCCGAGTCCTGACCAGAGGCTTGTACTTCCCTCACGGGTGCTACGACTGACTCGGAGACAAGTCGACGGAGCGACTCGGAGAGACTCGTAGAATGTGCCGAGCCACACAAAGTCTCATAGGTCTCCCCAACAGCCTCGAAGAGCACAGTGCGGCTCATTAGAGCTTACTAAATAAATTGTAGAAAAATAATCCAACCTATAAGCGATGGCCTCAAACCCTAATAGCGATGGCCTCCAACCTAGAAGCGATGGCCTCCAACCAAATTGCGATGATGGCCTCCAACTTAATAGCAATGATGGCTTCCAACCTCATAGTGATGGCCTATGGCCTCCAACCTAGAAGCGATGGCCTCCAACCTCATAGTGATGGCCTCCAACCTAGTGAAGCGATGGCCTCCAACCTAGAAGTGATGGCCTCCAACCTAGTGAAGCGATGGCCTCCAACCTCATAGTGATGGCCTCCAACCTACCAGGGTTCAAAGAAGCTTAGGTCCCCCCAACAGCCTCGAAGAGCACGGCGCGGCTCATCGGCTGCAGGAAGTGAAGCGCGATGGCTGGGGAGCCGGGGTATCCTGCCAATCTCTGCCATTGGTGAAGAAAACGTGTTTTCTTTTGCCGACCTCCCCCCCCCACCCTACTTACAGTAAGTAAGTAGGCGTCTACTTACAGTAATTACTAGCCACAGGCGCAGGATAGCTCGTGCTCGCAGTAATCATTTGGTTCCTAGATTGTTTGGGAATCTTGACCTAGTGCTTAAGAAAAATAAGCTTCAGCTTTGAAAGAGAAGAGGACTAAATGTTCCGATATTGGAGGACCTTGCTTCCCTACAATCATAATTAGAAAGGCCATCATATCATCGAGTCATCACAATCTCATCCAGTCCTTACCTGCAAAGGAACGAAGGCAATCCAAGTAGCTTGCCATGCATGCAGGCATCCTCCGCAAAAAAGAAAACAGAAAGCAGGCGGAGAAGCATTCAATCTAAAACAAAGTTGTTCGTTATATGTCTTTGTGGTAGCGCCATTTGACTTTGGGGGTGGAGCGTGGACTCAGTGGGCTCAAGTCCTCTCAAATCTGCATCCGACCAAAATGTCATCTCCTAGCTGGTGTCGCTGTGAGCAGTCGTTCAATGTTGGCGGCATGGGCTGCCTTCAATAGGGATAGTGCTTCCGATTTGTATGCATAAAGGCACAAGGAACACAATTTGGCTAGTGCGGCTAGTACAAGACAGAGCCTCCCGCGCCTGCAATTGATACATGCCTGCACCTGCATGAGTGTCCACATAGAGTAGGCTTTCGTCGCCATGCTCACAAGCACCTTGCGTGGCCTGCATCTGATGGATAGTTGTATGTCTTGCTGAAAACTCCTCCTAACTGCAACCATTTTTGAAGAGGGTTCTGCTTTCAACGGTTCAACTACTCAAGCAACGAAGACCAGGTTTCCAACCTCAATGCTAGCTAGTTACAATCCCAATCTTTTCGGCAAAATTCTTCTCGCCTGAAGTCTCTGGAGGAGCGCGACCAATAGCAGGTGCTTAAAGCAGTCTGCTACCGCGCCAGCTTGCACGTCATGGACCTTGACAAACAGTTGCAGACCATAATGCATTTGTCTCCAGGTCTGTATTACTCTCCCTCCATGACAAACGCTGGAAAGGAAGCGAGAAGAAGCTTGCTCTATTTCCTTGCCTCAAGTCATCGAGGCTTGGCAAAATCATGCCAGCGCTTTGATATTGACACTCTAGGGCAATCACGCCCAAGACCCAAACAAGTCCCAAAATGCCTGCGCAAGTTCAGAAGTTTGAGCACCACAAAAACTATGCTTGGATTTAAGCTGGTTGTGACATGTTGTGAGGTCAAAATAAGTAGAACTCGATGGAAGCATGAACTGCGGTAAGGACTGGTACATACGGGTGTCCGTACATAGCGAGGTCGTTCCTCCCAGCCAGGAGCCGTCCAAATAGCTTCCTGTACAGTGTCAACAAGCTCGAAAGCACAAAGGATACTCGACTGTCTCGATTCAATGAAAGGTTCAACTCGTTTGGTCCAACACGAAAGTAGGATGATTGAATGGCCTGCAATGCAGCGTCTGCCCAGCTCTGGAAAGCGAAGGACCACTGCAAATCGCAAAGTGCTTGTGCCGAGAAGCTTGAGATCTGTTCCTGAGCTCCAAAAGGACATCTGAGGACCAAAGGACAAAGCCCATACACAAATGGACAAAACTGAAAGCACGAGTGAAAGCACATGAGAATAGCAACTGACACGCATCTGCACTAAGTAAGCATACTGGCAAGTCGACTATCAAACATCTTCTCTGGGATTCCTGAAGATGTATTTGTTGTAAGTTGTACGGTATTTCTCCCATGTCCCTCCGCTGCACCAGGCCACCGTCAACGCCGGGATGCTCGAGATCGCTGCGACAGCATGGAACGAAGGCCTGGCACTTCTGTGCTGAGGAGCGCGAAGGCAGCGGCACAGTTCGCCAATCCCTGAGCATCGAAGTCAGCCGCCAAACACACCTGAGAAGGCCCTGACTCAGAGGAAAAACTGCACATGCGAATCAAATCCCAGAAAAACTTAAACCCCAAACACTTGTGAGATCTGGACTTGCAAAATAGCAATCCATTACAAGGAGAATCTTCATTGCTGCATGTCAGCCGGCTGTCTGACCCTTCGTCAATTGGAGCTTGCGGCTTGACTTGATCGTTCAAGATCAACCAAATCCAAATCCATCTATCTGAGCCAGCTAGGTACAGTATTCCAAACACGGTGAAGGATTTGTCGAAGAGAGTGCAAGCAAGAAAATTTGTAAGGAAACCAACCGCAACCACAGAGAGAGGGGCCCGGCACTAGAGAGAGGCAGCCAGTTCAGACGACAGAAACCTGGTTCCAGAATCAGAGCTAGTCCCTCTAGTCCTAGTCTTTGAAAAGCAAGAATCCAATCACTTCCATCCACCAGGCAAAGGGCAACCTGCTACAGAATACTTTAAAAATGCTCTTTGTGCCCTTGGATTTGACTCCGAATGAATTAAACTGAAAATAATCTTAATCTAAGACATATAGACACTCATATTCTCCCTTTGTGGCACGAACGTCTTGACTTGATGGCATCCTTGCTTTGGAGTACTGCGAACAGTCTTGTCAAACCAGGTTAAGCCCTTGTGAAAACTTCAGCAGTTGCACAATTCATCATCGTTTGTCCTTTCAGTGCATCGTTTCACTTCACATCTGCATATGCTGAACTTTGGGTTCGCTACTTCTGCTGGAATTCTGTGCGTCGTATAGAGACAAAATCCTGCCAAACAAAAATGCAGTCAAAGCACTGCACGTGTTGCCAGCCTTGCTGTTTAGGATGGGTCAAAGGAAGCATGCATAACCAAAGTGCCCGACAAAATGCAGCTAGATTTGATAAGCACCAACTCAGCTCTTGAACTAAATTGTGGGCTCCCACTGCAGAATGACAGAAACTTGTCCTCTTTGTCCTGGACATTGTCGGCAATGTCTTGTCTGAGCCAAGCCACTTTGCTATGAATGATGGCATAGGCGCATTGGCCTGGCAGTGTCAAGTCTTATAATGTCATATATACAAACTACAGGAACAAGTCGCATCCTGGCATCACAATGCCGACAAACATTAGACAGGGAGTAAGTCACCATAGGAAGGTGAAGCAACCACAACCTTACTCACCAACTCTAGTGAGATACTGCTATGCCAACAATCCAAATATATAAATACTCTTTGTTCCAGTTGCTTCCTTAAGTGTCGAGTCCAAGCTACAAGCTTTGGTTTGCTACAGTATTAGGAGCCCACAACATAGTGACATCGAAACCAAATGACTTGCATATCAATGCATTCCCAGAATAAACGCCAATTCCATCCAATTCCACCTTGGCAAGCGACCAAGCGATCATGTCAACATCGCGGGCATTCAAGTTGGCAACACGTTCCTCTGCCTGCAAATAGGATGGAAGCAAGTGGCTCATATGCTAGCTATATACTAGTAAGGAAGCTGCCTACTGAGCGTAAAACTCGGCCTTGCATCCTCACAAGGCGTCAATTAAAAAGACTGGCGACGGTGTCATGGCCTGCTTGGCAATTGCCAAGAGCAAAGAAGGGTCACATCCGTCAAGCTCCTCTCGCTGCGAGTGGCAACTTGTCGTAATCTTCTTTATTTTAGACCTCCTTTTACCCAGAATAGGTGGTGAGCCTCTAGCAATGCGTAAAGGACTATATTTCATCGACCACTCACCCCAAGAAGAGTGGACAGTGGTCCACTTTTCCTGAACTTTCTCAACAGAGGTCGCCACATGGTCAAAACCCATGCAACCCCTTCCAAGTGGCATTGTTCCGCGCTTCGCGTCGCGTTGCTTCTCCCGTCCAATGCGTCGCTTTTGGCAAAGGCCCACGCCAACGTCGAGAGCTCTGAGCCGCCAAAGGACTCCATGCAGCGCTGTGCAGAGGTCCCCAGACGCTGAAAGAGCCGGCCTTGTGCGGATTGTGAGACTGAGACGCCAAACAAGTGAAGATGGCAAATGACACAGGAAGAAACTGCTGTCACCTCTTCACAAACTACAATCAAAGTTCCATGCAGCCTCGACCACGTCCACCTGAAAGAACTTCTATATAAGCCAAATATCTATGTGATGCGACAGCATGGCATGTGCCCAACTGCAACCTTCAGCAACGCCCATGCTCGCGAGGGCCCAGCTCACCCGTGCCAAACCACCAGCGTTCAGCTCCGGCGCTCGGCAAAGCAAGGCACTTTGGAAACGCTGCAGCAGGACCTGAACGATGACCATTTGCTCGCTCGGCATCAATGAACCCGTGCGATTGAGGTCAAAAAGCTTCCTTCTTGATAAAAAGCTTCGAGGATAATAGCTCAATTAGCTCACGCACTAATGATTTGGTTCGTATATTCTTTTCTGGAAACTTGACGTCTTTGAATGGAACTCCCGTGATGGATGCTATGACTGGCAGCCTCATCTGCTGCATCAAGCCATGCAAAAGCCCAAACAATGCTGGCTAGCTCCTGCAAACAAACGAAATGGTAAGCCTTGCTGTGATTAATGAAAAAAATACATCCAACGCTCTTCAAACCTACTTGCATTTCCCAGTCTTCTCAGGAGCACTTGAAGGGTACTCCCCCTGTTCCGAGTCTGGCTTCCTGCGCGTTGAAGTCAGTGCTCTCTGCCAGAAACTTGGCTCTGATGCTCCGCATCAAAGGCCTGCACAAAACATCAGCCTGCAGAGCGCTGCACAATCAGCATGAGACCCCATCACCGTTTCGACGTAATGCAGTCCGCAGTCACCCTAGGCCCCTAGGCTGTCAAGTTTGTAGTCCTGTGAGTAAGTTGCAAAAAAGATTGTAAAACAAACATCAGTTCTATCGTCTCACCACGTTCTCCTTGCCAGCAACTCATTCGGCAAACTAAGGCTGGCCTTTGCAAAGGCCCATGCTGCGTTGCCAGTGTCTTGCCTCATAGATATTTGGGTTTTCGTTGAAGAAACGGTCCGTTGGCACAGCCTTCAATGTTGCTGGTCATAGCATTCTTTCATATTCAATGCACATCGTCGCAAATTAGCAGCTCAGGAAACTTGCGAGACATTGTTGCAGCTGGAAGGAAGCTGTTGTGCCATGCTGAAACCAAACCCTGGCGCCTACTGAGCACAGAAATGCCGTCCAGTGTTTGGCCAGCCAACTGCTGCATAAAATCCATGTCCCTCGCCTGCAACACTCTGAGACTAAAAGGAAGGGAACAAAGTGTTCTTGCCATCCAATGCATTTGGTGCCCCAAGAGTTCATTGAAAAGCAGTAACAGAAGTCACTGTTGGAGTGCACAGTAGTGCCTGCATTTTGGAAGTCATGTTAAGGGTGCCTTTGGAAGCATGAAAATGAAAGGGTTCTTTATAGGGGAAATTGCTCACACCATGGCTCCGCGTTCAGAAGGTGATTTATGGAAGTTGGAACTTCTAATACGCCAATGCCAAACATAAAATTGGTATCATCAGGACTATGTTTTAGTCGGCATACCTCCTCAAGAAAAGCTGAGTGAAACACCGAGTTTCAAGCATGCCTGCATTTTCGAGAGAGCCCACGCCAAATGTACTGCATCCTTGCCTGATGCAACTAAGCCACATCCAAAAAAACACGGGGCCAAAGCTTGGACTTTGGAGCAAAGAGACTGACTAGACTGATGGTGGCGTTTAGACCCATAAGTCCACAGGGCATGAGGCAACGGTTTTTTTTGACTCCCAGCTGCACTTGAATCTGCCGATGCGGAAACGTGCTTGTCGGACAATTGCAGCTATGGCTTCATCAGAAGGCTCCTGGAAAAAGAATGTATGCTTCCAGAGAAAGACACAGACCTACCCTCAGAGTCAGCAAAAAAGTAGTCTGCAGGGGAACCTAACACTGAAAAGCAAACCAAGCAAAAGCGAGCAGGGAAAATGATGATATATAGTGAACTAGTGAACTATAAGAAATAAACTTCTTGACTTGTCTTGCCTCTTGGAGTTAAAGTAAGTTCCTTTCTCCCGACCGACGCGCACCGACAGCTTGGCCAATGCCCAGGCGACCACCGTCAGCTCCGATGGCGCCAGCGTGGCGGCGACCCGGGGCACCGCCGCAGTGAGACCACGCGCTCCGCACTCAACGCCGCAGCCGGCCTGGGGAGCCGTACAAAGCGGTGATAAGAAAAGCAGGCAGACCTGGGTAGCTAAGAAATAACAGAATACAATTTCATGTAGAAATAGTAGAATATGATTTCATGTAGAGATATATAATATATATTAGAATGTCTTGTGTCTAGTCCTATTGCCAATAACAGTAGATGGTGCTGGTTATTAAAGGCCTTTCTCTAACATGGTGATAACTGTTTACCGACCGTTGCAGAGAATGGGACAGACAAGACCCAAAGAATTTCAGAATGTGGGATGAAGTTGGTACAGCTTTGCCCTTCAATTGTCTGGCTCGCTACACTGAGGCCTCTTTTGTGCATATGGATGCCAAAGACCAAGCCAGCGCAGCTAGATCGTTGCCAGCAAGTTCCGGCATCAATGAAACTGCCTTGGATACAAAGTATCTCACTGTTTGTCACTTGTAAAGCATCGTTTGCATGAAACCGTATGTTGTGCTTGTCTACAATCTGATATTCGGACCTCAAGTGGGAAATGTTGGAGTCTCAGTCGCAGAGCTGGCCCGCCGTGCATAAATCACAGCCACGCTGCTCGATTTAACAGTCTTCCCAACGTGTGGGGTGAACGGCTTGGTGGCGAAAGCCTCAAGTTCTGACAAATCACGGTACACCTCTCACAGCTTCAGGTCAACATGCTGAGTTTCCATTTGCAATCTGTCTTGTAGAATCGAGTTCTCTCTCAACTCGCAAACTTCATGGCCTGCAAATGCAGGTCAGGCTTGGAGATCATTGAGACTTTTGCGCTAAGATATGCAGGGCAAACCAAGTTGTTTCTTTTCAATCACTATGCAATTGTATATTGGCAGTATATAAGCACTTGAAAGAACATTATACCAAGCAGGAACCTAACGAGAGAGGTAAGACGACCAACGGTATAGGTTTATGTAGCGGTGGAGGAAGACGGTCATTCAGTTTTTGGACCGGCAGGTGAGGTGTCTTGAGGAATCAGGAAACATGTTTCTGTCTTCGTATTATGTGAAAAAAAAAAAAAAAAAACATGATCGAAATATCCAGGGTGGTTGTGGACATTCTTAGTGACCTGATGGGTTAGGTCCAGATCATCCCTCTCAAAAGGGAGGAAATAGACTGGGCATCCGAGCATATCTATTGCCAAGTCTTGTTCACACTCCGGTGCACATGCTTTTACCTAGCCTTTCTTACAAACATCATCTTTACTATGACTGTCCTTCAAGAAGATTGCTTTGTTTACACACCAAGAAACGCCACAGCCCGCATTGCAGTGAGAACATGCACTGTATCGAATCTCCGGCTCTCCTTGTCAAACAGCTCAAGGGCCTAACAAACGGGAAGCAAGGCTTGGCGGCTACTAGCTACTAAGTAGTAGTTACTACTTGCTACTGCTTGCTGCCAGCTACTTTATCTCATTTTGTGTTTGGTATCCTTACTTCCTTTTTACTACCTTAACTTCTAGCAGCTGCAAGCCAGCCAGTCTTTACTTCTTGCTAGCTGGCAGGCGGCTACCCCCCAGGTCAAAAAACAATTACGAAACCAAGAAGGTGCACTTATTGTGTTGTTCTTCGTCAAATCTGCATGCCTGGTCGCCATCTGCAGCGCTGAGGCGCTTCTGGAGCTTGAGCTGCAAACACACTGGCGATTGCTTGGCGCCGAGCAGCAACCTGCATGCGCTGAGTCGCTTAGGGGAGGCCTTGACATGCTTTCACCCGAAGAAGATTGGAAGCAGGAAAGCACATGTGAGTCATGTGAGTCTGTCGTGCTAGTGTACAGAAATCAACTAAAACGTCAGATTGATGGGTTCACAAAATACATATATCCTGGGCACATGTTTTCCAGTGAATGGCCCAGGGACATCAGCACATGAAGGCACCTCCAATTGCTGCGCCCATGGCCTCACAGGACCCAAGGCTTGGATTTTGGCCAAACTCGATAGAGATGACATGGCGCTTCAAACTCTGGGAAATTGACTTTAACTTTCTCCTTCGCAACCTCACCCAACGGCAGTCCCATCAATGCTGTCCACAGCACTTGCCAGACGACGACCACTCATTCTAAGTCTGTAAGGCAGCTATGGCTGCGCAAACTCAAGACGTACTCGCAAGAAAGCAGTGTGGCACGCACAAAATATCTAGTCCACCCTGCCCGGAACCCCTCAGCCCTCAGCAAGCGGTTTTGGCACAAGTGAGCCGGTTCTAAATTGCTCACCTTCAAGCGAAGCAGGAGCAAACCATTTTAGGCTTGCTTCCCTAGAGGTACAGCACGGATTCCGAACAACCAGTCAAAATGGAATCCTTGCAAGCGGCGCAAGCTCTCTTCTCTTTGCCGAATTGCAAGCAGCTGCAAGAAGTTTTTGCAATCTTATGCAAAACGAATTAAGTTCAAATACCTTCCTGCTCCAAAGCTTTCAAACCTTCTCAGACCTCTCCGCCATCGGGGCATTTATGATTCTCCAGCGTCACCTGGCACCCCATCCATGGAGGATAAACAACCCAGTCTACCAACAAATAACCAAACTGATAAATTCGTTACATAGGATCACAGAGTCACACCTACTAGTTCAACTACTTGTTCAACAAGCACCTTTAGAATTGCCTGTTCGTGATTAAAAAACAAACACGGAACTGGTTTCTCGGGATTTGTGGGCAGTTGAAAAGACCGTTCTCGTTCACGGGGTGTTCTGAACCGCTTTGGGGTTTTCTCATGGTTGCAGTTGCAGCGACTACTTCCAAAAACAGCGGCTCTGGTGCATTCTATTACAGAAGGGGTTTAGGAAGAAGAGTCTGGTGAAGCGGCCAGCAACTGCCGTCATATCGAAAAGTTTCGTTGAATGGAGAGGTTTTTGGTCAAGGGTCAATACTCTGCTGCCAAACAAATGTTTGCCGTTTCCATTTCTTCATCTGTCACCCGTACTTGTCACTTCGCCCCTCTCACAGTCCAAAGCGCACCGTAACATCATAAGCATCAGGCTTCACAAGACGAACCATCAGTTTGTCCTTGCACATTGAAATGGTGCCGAGAATACTGTAATGCCCAAATATTGGATTCATGGTCGAAGATTTTCAGGGTCTCGTGCCGTTGCACCAATACCAAACAGAGCTTACCATGACCCGATGCAGTCCAGGTGTTGACTAATTCAGGTCCTTGAACCGTGCGCATCTAGGTTCACCATTTGCAGCCAGCTAGTTGCAAACCCACAAGGATGCAACTTGGTCCTGATCTGAGCAATACTTCACACTGTAGTCGTAGTCGCTCAAGCCACCTCAAGCCAAGGTAAGGCCATAAAAGAACACACCTTGTCAATATGGTGAACTTCTTCATTTCTTCATTGAAGCACAAAACAAAGCTACCCGGCTACCCCCAGACGCTTCAGCTGGGTCACATCCTGGGTCATTTTCCACCGTAATCGATCCAGCGCTGTTTTGGAAGTCCACTCCATCACACTGCTGAGACGATGAGCCAACTGCCTGGCAAAAGATTGCATATTTGTGTTATGTGTGACAAACACTCCAATCACTACAGTATGTTGCATGTCATGAACAATTGCTCCAAGGTCCAAACCTAGTCAGAACACCGATCTGAGACTGAAACACTGAAAAAAGGTATTACTTACCCTTCACATCCAGCCAAATTGCAAAAATAGAAGTTTCTTTCAATTTTTCTTCACTGACTTGGGCCATTTCACTCAGCCCGTGAATCCCCATTTCACCTTCAAGTCCACAATTCCCACGTCTCCATCCACACTGACCACTTTGATGGAGAAGGAGTTGGTGAGCAAGGAGCCTTCATAGCAAGCCTCCGTGACGAATCACTTGACAGAAGATTGCAATGGATAGACTGATAGACGTTGTTGCAACAAAGCTGATGTCAGCAAGAAGTTGCAACGTGCGCCAGGGCACAGGAGTCTGTGGAAGCGACCCAGCACCTGTGCAAGCAGCATCGTTCCCACGAAGTGCAGGAGTGCCGCTCTCCTTGCGACATTCTTGGGCGTCTTTGTTTCGAAGGTATCTTGAGATTCTTCCCCTTTGCAAGCCCTGCCCTCTTCTCCACCCCTGCCTTGCCCAAAATCAAACAAGGGAGTGCAACGAGAAGGCGAAGAGTAGTGCTCATCATCGCGGGGCTGCTGATTGGATGCTTTGATCCGGGAGCTTGACTTGGTCCGGGATTGAACCTTGTGCAAGATCTGTGAGCCGAGGTGAACCTAGCAGAGCACCTTTGCTGCATACTCTGGTGCACACTACCCTTCTTGGTGTCAACACATGTTTTAACCTCTCTGACTCCCGCAAGTGTTCAGCTCATGAAGATGATGCGAATCTGCAATGCCATTCACCGAGCCAGCCTTTTTGTCTCAGATCGAAAAGGAGGTTCCCTCGGAGTGAAAATCAAAGTTTTCGTGGATATATTGACTTCGGGTTGCTATTGAAGCTTCACGACTTGGAAGTTCCGGGACCACTTCCACGTTTGTGGTGCTGACATTTAGCAGTGTGGTCACGGCCACAAGCCGCAAAGAAGCTTCTAGCTTCTGACGAACAAAAGAGTTAAACCTATCTACACCGGCCTCAGCAATCAAATCTAAGATCATTTCGCGATCACTGTTTTTTGTGGCTCGAGACTCCTTTGCATCGACCGAGTCAATGATTTGATTAATCAGCATGTCATCCTTCAATAGACTCTTCTTTACAGACTGCTCTGCTTCCGGCACGAATCCGCACGCAACTTCTGCTCCCACTTTCCATGCGATATAAATCTCATAGAGGCACCAAGCTCGTGTCAGAAGGGCTGGCCGCTCATGTGGGATTAGGGCCAGCAGCATGCAATTTGGAACTTTGATTGCTTGAGTCAGAGCCTGCAGCATGGTGTCATACATGTTTGCTATACTGCCATCCATTGGATCGGAGGCCTGCACTCCAGACAAGTCAGCAAAGTCGTGCTGATTCATGCTGAAGATATCCAACCAGAAAAAATTGTTTGTGTTGGTATTTTCATCATAGCGCTTTAAAATAGCCGTGAGGTGGATGTACGGGCTCGACCACGAATGACTGACCATGACAGTTGGTTCTCCGACATGATCACAACTCATCTTTTGCTTTGAAGAAGAAGATTGCGATGTCAATCCAACGGCCAGGCCCTCCCAAACAGAGCAATGCGCGGGCAAAGTCATTGGTCTGATCAGCTCCACACAGAGGTCGGAGGTTGTGGGCTCCTGAGACGTCTGACAAAGTAGCCATGATATAAACAAAACCTGTTTATAGAACCTGTAAGCCTGCCCTTTTCTCTTGCCGAATCCTGTGACATGAAGTAAACATTTGGGAATGCAACAGGTCTACAAGCCCAGATTCGAAAATAAAATCACCACTATAATAGACTATATATATATATACAGTAACCTCTTAGTCATATTGCGGACTTCATTCAAAGAAAACCAACGCATGTACGCTTTCAAGGCTCCTCTTGACTCTGGCCCTCCATGAGGCAAACGTCATGAAAACCAGTTGCGACACTTTGCGATATGCCACGATGCCAAACAGGAACTGAGTGGGTCAATGGCTTTCCAGCTGCTGCCAGAGTAGCAACACCATGTCGCACGAAAGTAGCTAACCTCTGCGGGTCAAGGAAAATTTTCGAAGTGGAATTCTTTGTCGCATCCTGGAACGACAGAATCACTTCGAGCGTCAGCAACACCAAAGAGAATAATGCGAAGCAAACCAGGACAAAACAAGTGTACAAAGTGCCTGAAAGACTCCTGACAAACGGTTCCGCCGCTGGAAGCAATGCAAACAAAGCATCCAACACCCCGATCAGCAGAAAAACACCTATGGCCAATTGCGTGAATCGCAACCGATGCAATAAATGGCGTGGAATGTCTCCCGGCAATTTGCTCCGGAGTCTTCGCAAGCCTTTGAAAAGCACAGCAAAACCTACAGCTGGAACCAATCCAAAAAAGGAGTAGCATTGCACAACGTAGAAAGTCCCAGAAAGGACGGCTCGGGCATTACTTGTCTCCAACAAATAGACCAAGGTCCAGAAAGGCACTAGAAACACCACCTGAGCACCCACGGATATTGTACCAACCGTCTTGCACACCTTCAGGCCAATTCTCTGCCTTTTGGGTTCCAATGCATAGACCAAACGAACGGCCTCAATGCAAATATCCCAGTACACCAGCATCATAAGTCCAGCGTGGGATAGGGTGTCACCAATTGCCCAAACCGCGTGCAAAGGCAAGTTTGTGGAAGGCAGGTATCTGGGATTTTCGGCTCTGATCCAGAATTGTGGAAGACAAAGCAGAAGGCCGAGAACCATGCACCCAAAGCTCAATATGCGAAAGAATGGTCTCGAAGTGTAACACAGATTGAAACCATAGATCAGAAAGGCCAGGGCATTTAAGCCTACACAAATGCAAGTACAAGTAGAGATCACTCCAACAACTCCCACAGGGATTGGAATGCATTCCCGCATCCAGTCATCTTCTAGGCAGTCCATTGCAAAAAACTAAAAAATTGTTTGAGTTCTTACGGCAGAGGATGCAAAAACTAGGAAAATCACTGAGAGCAAACACAAGGAACTGATTGAACCATGCTCCGATCGTGCAAATCGTCGGGCAACGTTCTGATGATTGCGCAACAAGGTAGCGGCCAAAAACAACCCCACGCACTCCGTGTCCAAAACGCACATGTCACTGATTAAATGGTTGGTGATCTGTCAGCTGTCTCAACGAAACGAGCAAAAACAATCACCACTAAAGAAACATTGCCCAAACTGGCTGAAATCGTCTAGTCAGAGAAGGCCACAACTTGCACGCCCGTGGAAACAAATTTTTATCCAACTCACAAAACCTATAATCTATATATATATACACTGTGCGGGTGAAAAAAGTGAAAAGTAAAACCACAAGTGGAACAGAGACTCACATGGTTGTAGTCTTCCAACGAAGCATGCACTCCATAATCACTGCCAATTGAGCCTTCAGGTAACGTCTTCTGAAATGACTGTGCAAACACGGGTTGCGTCCGCCTTGGAAAAAAAACAAAGAGCATTGTGGTTGTGTGTGTGGATGTGTTCACCGCAGGGATGTATTGTGACCATCCGTCGGCATGACCTGTTCCAACGCTGTTCATGCGCACGTACGCCTGTTGAAAGCACCACTCTCCTGTGAAGTTTGATTTCACTTTCAGTTCCTGTTGTGCCGAAACTGTTCCTGCATTAATTTTGTCACATCCATCGTGTTGGTGGCTGGTGGTCACTCTTGTGGTAAAGGTCAACCTAGACGACGAGTGGCCCGAAAACATTCTTCATCACGCGTGAAGTCAGAGTGTGAGTTATGTGTTAAGTGTTCAGTCTGAAGTGTTAAGTCGAGTGTGTGTGTTCAGTCTGGTTCCATGAACGCACTTTGGCCACACGGTCTGTCCACACACTAGAAGCACACACATCACATGACACCCCTAATCATTCCGCTCACCAGCGACACGCCGAGTTTACGCCAGTGTTTCGCGCTCCCCAGTGGCACGGCGCCACGCAAACGCTTCCCACCAAGGCCGCGCAAATCCCGTTGGCACAGCGACATCACAAACGTGCTTGGGCCACACGGTCTAGAAGCAAACATATCACACGACACCGCCAATGCTCCCGCTACACGCCCGTTCACGCCAGCATGTTTCGCGCTGCGCTCCCCAGTGGCACGGCGCCCCGCAAATGCATTTTCCACCAAGGCCGCGCAAATCTCCACGCCGTGCTGAAGTTGTACTGCCAAGTCGCCAGTTCTCATCTTCCAGCTCCCCAGATACTCCACGTTCTAAAGTTGTACTGCCAAGTCGCCTTCCAGCTCCCCAAACACTCCGCGCACAAAGTTGTACTACCAAGTCGCCAGTTCTCATTCCAGCTCCCCAGGCACTCCCTGCAGTGAAGTTGCGCTGCCCAATCGCCAATTCTCATCTTCCAGCTCCCCAAATACTCCGCGTGCCAAAGTTGCACCATAAAGTCGCCAGTTCTCATCTTCCAGCTCCGCAGATACTCCGCGTACTGCGTACTAAAGTTTGCTAAAGTTGCACTACAACGTCGCCAATTCTCAGCTTCCAGCTCCACAACCTGCTCCGCGTACTAAAGTTGTGCCACAAAGTCGCCAGTTCTCATCTTCCAGCTCTTGGCACTCTCGGGCGCTGGGGCTGGTGACTGTGAGCTGGCTGCGCGCGCTGTTAACTTGGAGCCTGGTGCTAGTGCCGCTGCAGAGTGCTGCCGGATGAGCGGCCACGTGCGCTTTGGAGATTCCACTAAGGCGCCGCTATGGTGCTGCTCACAAATATCTTCGCTATCTGGGCTCAATTGCAGCCTTTCAGTCAAGCAGCCAGCTGGTTAGGCTGCACAAAGCCCAAAGCACTCTTTGAATCGTTCTCTCTTCTTCTGTCCTCGTTTGCATTTTTTGGCCATGAGGCGTTGCTCCTGCTTGCTGCCAAGAGGCAGCGGCTCTGAAGGCGCACGCTGGGTGTTGTGATCTTACTCTGCTTGCGCGAAACGATCAAGCTTGGCAGGCTGCTAAAGGCCTTTCTGCCGCTGACTTGCAGCTGCTCCTGAACCGCGCTGAAGGTGACAGGCCAACCACGCGCAAGGCCAACCTTGTCATGCAGAGTCTGTTGCAGGCGGCGCTGGCGTCGCCCTTAGTTTCGCCAATGTGTCTTAGAGATTGCGTGACCGTTGATGTGCCCACTGCAGCGACATGTACTTGGCCCCGTCCCTGTGACGACGTGTTTACATGTGGATTGCTGACTAAAGAATTCACCAAAAGCGGATTCAGCTGCTTTGGCAGGTGCCGGTGGAGGCGGTGGTGCTGCAGGCAAGCCATGTTTTGCAATGTCACGAAAGCCAGATAGATAGGCTATAGCGGCTAGGCTGGAGTTGGGTTGCGCGAACGAAGTGAGCAAAGGGGGTAACGAAGAAAAGTATTTGCAGTTTGGGGGTGTTTTGATGCAGGTGATGTAATTGACAACTACTTTCGTTGGAAGGACCTCTGGGTGCCTCTGGACCCGTTCCATGTGTCTTGCGCCAGGAGGGTGCCAACGCTATTGATCACTGGCTCTCCTATTGCCCTGTTGCGCACATCACATGGTGTGCACTGTGCAAAGGAAGTCCACCACCCATCATGTCAAGGTGAGCGGACCTTTTGGACCACACGCGCTACGGTCGAACGGAGTAGTTTCAACTAGCAAATAGTGCACCTATACACATGACAAATCTTGACACGCCGCCTCGGACTTAGCCGATTCTAGGCTATGTTCTCTTTCTTGTCATGAGGCACCCTTGTCGTGTAAAGGGTCACAGGAAAGTCCGCCTCATTCTTTGATGCATACCCTGTACACATCGTTCCGGCAAAAGTAAACGCCATTCCCATAAAATGCTGTACAAATTCTCACACATTGAAATCAAACGTTCAATGTTCAACTGTCGTAGTGCTTTGTGCTCCTGGTTCAGATGGTTTCAGGAAGCACAATCGTGTATATAGAGTAAGTTGTTGGTTCAGCTGGTTCCAACAACCTACCCTCTTGAAATTGTACATTGCAAATTGAAAATGTTGTAAATTGCTCCATTGCTCAATGTCCTGTAGAACCACTAGGCCGTTCTGGCCCTTCATCCAACTCCACGTCGCTCGAATCTGATGAGTAATGGTGAATACCCATCCACATCTCGGGGTCTGACACCTCATCCAATGTACTGTTGAGGTACCTGGCGACTCTGGCGTCTTCACTGTCAGCGTCTGTTGTTCCTCCACCTTCATCTTCTTCTCCGTCTCTGTCAGGCCTATTGATGGCTTGAGGATCATCCACCAAAGGCTCAATGCTTCGTCCTGGAACTCGACTTGACCTGAAATACCCATCATATTCATCCATACGTTCATTCAACCTTTCAAGCCCTGCTTCTGGTTCTGCACCTGGCTCCAGCAACTCTGGAATTTCTGGTGCTCTTGGACTCTCATCATCCACTGAAAGATCTGTCATCGACTGACAAAAATAATGCGCACGTCGCCTTGCAACTTCTCCAGGGTTTTGCTCTAGAATTGCCAACGTCGATCTCAAAATCTCTCGTCTCTTCTCATATTTCTTCCTCTCCAGTTCAGTCATGCGTCCAGCTCGTCTCTCCAAACGCCGTTGAACTCTGCCTAGCATCCAGTAC